GAGCCCAGATTTCTTAAGAAAGAAAACTTAGAAATCAGAAAAGGGCAAGAGAGCTAGAAAACCAATTCAACTCGAGTAAAAATAGAGACTTCAGAACTTTAAAGTTGGGTACACATAATACATTTTTTAGCGAATTTAATATGGTATTTAGGAATTCCAAAAGCGAATTCCGGTTGCAAATCTTTATTGTAAGACTAATATCAAATTCGCAACTATCAAAAGGGTTTTGCCTGGTTGATATCTCTGCTATGATAAATCCAGGAGTTCCAAAAGTAAATTCCAGCTGCAATTCTTTACAAATCTTTATTGTAAGACTAATATCAAATTCACAACCATCAAAAGGTCTTTGAAATAATTTAGAAATTAAATTTAGTTGATTAGATTTTTAATAATTTAATTTAATAAAAAATTATGTAATATTTTATGTTCAATTTTAAATTATGTATTAGTTTTATTATAAGAAGAATCTTAGGGTAAGTATATAATTTATATTTGCGAGGTTAATTAGATTTTTCTTGAATATTTTTGTGGAATTGTTGAAATACGATAAAATCCGCAGTAACCATTTAGTTTAATATTTAAGTTAATACGAATTTTTTTTTATTATTGTAAAACAAAAAAAATAATTATGAAAAATGATGTTAATATTATTGGTTAAAATTTTAAAGTTATGTAAATTATTTTATACGTAAAACAATTAGAAATTCCAATATTGATATTTATTTTTGTGATTAATATAAAATGTTGTAAATACACAATTTGTTATACATCGGAATTTTTATTCCGATAAACTTTTGTTTATAGAATCCACAAGAAGTTATATCCTCAAGAGGAATTATCTAAGAAATCAAATATTAAGATTGAAGTGTGTAATAATCCTCAAGAAAAATAGTTACACAATCCTCAAAAAGAAATCTTCAAATAGAAACTGATATTCGATTATTAGTTTCCATTTGAGGACTAGATCCTCTTGAGGAAAAAAACAAACTGTATTTTATTTCAAATTATAGCTACATATAAATTTTCAGTTAGTACGTATCTATTTTATTGTAAATAATCAATAACTTTTTTATTAATTTAATACTAATAATATTTCATTTTTTTGGTATTTCTTCATGAATTTTAATTCAAATATATTTATTTTTTTTTTTAATTATACTTTTATTTATTAACATAAATATTTTACTTTCAGATGGTCTAACAGGTCTGTTCATCGTTTACGGTACTTCTTTTATTTCTTCTTGATTTCGGATTTCTTTTGTAGTTCCTTGGCACTGACTTGGTTCATTATTATTTTATTTTCGTTACATTATGTCTTTGTGTAGATGTTTTTTATTCATTATTTTAGGTTTCAAAATAGAAACGTTTTTTTTTATAGGTGAGTATAGGTTTTTTTCGTTGTTGATAATTCTCTAATTTCTTTGTTATATACAGATTTTGGTAAGTTTTAACTTCGTTAGAGACTTTTGTTATATTGAAATTAATATTTGGTACGTTCTTCGCTCTTGTTGATTTCTTTTGTTATTATTTGAAGCTTTGTTATTTCTTTCGATATTCGTTGGAATGTGATATTGCTTTGTAGGTATTTTCTTCGTTAGGTATTTCTTTTTCTTGTTGTTATTGGAGTTAATGTTGATTTTGTTTATGAATTTCGTTTTATCTTCTGTAGTATGAACTAACATTTTCTTTCTTTAGGTTTTAGTTTCGTTGGAATATAAAAAACGTTGAGTGATCGTTTGTGGACTATGTGTATTTTATTCTGTTGTTGGTGGATTCGGTTATGTTGTTTTCTATTATTTTGATTTATTCTTTCTTGATTTTGATTTTTCTTTTTTGTAGGTATAATGAATTTGAACTGGAATTATATCTAATTTATATTTGAATCAGAAAATATTATTTCTATTTTTTATTCTTGTTTTCTTTAATTATTCTTATTCTTATTTTCTTTCTTTATTTTTAGGCACAATTAATACGAATTTAATATATTATAATTATATCATAATTATATTATCATTACATCATTGTTACAATGTTTTAATTTATTCTGGGTTTGTATTTTACCCCAACTAAGGAATACGCCTCTTCGTGGCAGTTAGGACTATTAGGAGATTCATTCTCCGAAGCCAAGTATTCCAGGGCATATTGCTACGAGATGATTCTGAATCTCATGCGATATTGACCATACATAGCTGTAAACGGTCTGGTCGTTCCGATTTGATTACGGGCGATCCTTGTGAAAGGTAACAGGGAGAGCACTACCTTGAGCCTGACCTGGGGTATAACCTACAACCTACCCTGTTGAGGCTATTGTTCAATTCGCACGAGTGAGGATCTCTTGATACGAGTTGGTGCCTACGAATATGTCTCTCACCTTTAGAGTTTCGAGATATGTTGGCTTCCATGTAGCGAGACTTGGTAACTTACATTTATTGTAAGGCTAACAACATATCGATATAGTAATATAAATTAAAAAAAAATCAGATTAGAAATTTAAATGTGTAATAAAATAAAATTTATTTAACAAAAAAAAAATAATAACTATTATGTATTTGATCGTTATAATAAAAAAAAATACAAAATAAAAATTTAACTTAGAAATATCAATTAATTAACGACAGTAGTAACTATTTTTTCTTGATATTCAATATTT